CGACTGGCATGCCACAGGAGCAGGAGACAAAGTTCTCCTCCTCGATGATGTCTAGAAATCGTTCAAGGTAACAATCGCGTGAGATAAGGCGGGAGAGGACGAAAATAAGCCCACTCCATACGGAGTTTGCGGGAACCACGCACCCACTCCTCTTGAGATTCAGCAGCGTGACGCGGAAGTTGCTGAGAACGCTTGCCTCCTGGCTCTTGCGCGCGGACCCAGGTGGCTTACGCTCCACCACCGCCCCATCCCTGTAATTCGCCCACGTTACGAGAAATGCCAGTCGCTGGTGCTCCTGCGGCTTGAACGGCAGCAGGAATGGCGGCGGTGCCGCCGTCTGAGGGCAACAGCCGCGGGGTAAACTGCCGCCGTGGGAGGCCTCTCTGCCAGTCGCGTGTGACGGAGTCCCGTGCAAACTGCCCCCCACCTCCTGCAAGCGGGTCCCATGCAAAACGGGCAGCAGCAGTCCACAGCAGGCATCCAGCAAGTCCAAAAGAGCCACAAGATCGCCGCGACAGACCTCGTACAGGACATCGTGCTGCACTATGAGGCCCGGAAAGCGGACGCAGAACTCGGGCAGAGCCTCGCAGTGCTCCTGAATAATGCGTGCGGCAAGCCCGGGCGGCGAGACTTCTTTCTTCGCCTGCGTCCCTCTCCCCGCCGAATGGCTCCGCTCATAAAAGAGACACTGCAAAAATGGCCGCAGCACCGTTGTGACCCACGGGACGCTGCAGACTGGCTCGTTTGCGTCAGCCGACGCAGTTGTTGGTCCAACGTGTTGGGCGTCGCCGGACTCCTGGCCAGAGAAGAGGACAATCGTCCCACCCAAGTCGTTGACTACTTGGCACTCCACGACGTCCTCCTGCGCCGGCTCAAACCCTTTGCATGGGGCGCTGCTCCCCTCCGCGGCCGCCCGCGACGAGGCCACGCGGTTGTTCTCACTCAAGGCATGCTCCAGCACGGTGAAGGCGTGCTGTTGGTGAAACCCCAGCAACGCGGCGGCGGCCGCCGTGTGCTCCATGACGAGCGCCAGGTGAAGCGGCGGCCATTCGTCCGGCAAGGCCTCCATCTCGTCCTCCGCGCTCGCGGGCTCCGCGTCGGGGTCGTCCAGAAGGCTGACGTAGACTGACAGGGGTCGATACACGTGCTGCGCCGCGGCATGCACGGAGGTTTCCGTTTGAAGCGTGTGACAAACGGCGTCCAGGAACGCCGCCGCATCCGCCGGCTGCCCGTCAGAGGCCTGCAGGAGGAAAGTGACGGGCTCCCCCATGTGCCATCGGTGGCTCCACATCGTCATTTATTTCGCGGGCGCCCCCCGCCCCCCGCCCCAAATTGCACCGCAACTGTGACGACTGCAGACGTGCCCCCCTCCCCCCGCCCTTCCTTTTAGTTATTTACTATTGTTTTTTTTCCTTTTGCCACAGCTCGCACGTTTATGCGGCCCCCCACGGACAGAAATCCCTCACACACGCTCGCCAGCCAAACGCACCTCAGCGCACCTACGAGAGTCCCTCTCGCTCCCTGTGTCACCGTCCAATTGTATTGCCTTGCGCTGGTGTGTGTGTCTGTGTGCCGTTAATGCTGCTCCTAAGTTTTATCCGACTGCGCGTGCGCGGCTGCCTCGCGCGCGAACCTCACAAAAAAGAAGATGCGCAAGGGAGAGAGAAAGGCAGCGTGTGTGGAGGGGGGAAATGCTGAGGGAGGCGCTGCATCTGCCACCGCCAGCCGCGCGTCCTCGGCGTGCCACCTCCACCGCAGGGGAGATTTTAATCGCGCGCAACCGCCACGACGGCGCGGCGGGGAGACCACAAAATCAGCGAAATGTGAGAGAGAAAAAAAAGTATATACACACGCACAGAGACATATATTTATGTTGCATAGACGTGGAGAGAAACAGAAAGCGGAGAAGTAGGGTGGGAGGGAAATGGTCTATTGGGTAGAAAAGAACAACAACAACAACAACAACCCCTCTTCTCTTCCTTTTGTCTCTCTCTCTCGTTCTTCTTTCAGTCCATTGATGGATGCCATGTTTTATTTACATCACAGCCGCGCGCACGCACGCGGGGAATCGCTCTCTGCCTCTCTCCCTCTCTCTCGATGCGTCTTTCTTGCCGTTTACTCCTCTCTCGCGTGGTCGTCTGCTTTTGATGTTTCCCTTCCGGCGGCGAGTGTCCGCGCCCGGCCGCCGGGGGGCCTAGGCGTGCTCCACCACAAACTTTGCCACGCGGGCAAACCACTCGTGCAGGCCGGGGTGAAAGAGCGAGACGCCCCCGCCGTCGCCCGCCGCCAGCGCCTGCAGGAAGCGCACCACCTCCACTGAGACGGCGCAGCGGGGGAGCAGCGCCTCCACGCAGCGCTCCATCAGCTCGTCGTCCGTGACGGCGCGTGGGACAACGGAGCGAACGAGCAGCTCGATGAAGCCGGTGACGAGCCGCGACTTCGCCTCGTCCACAGCTGGCACTTCACCTACGCCGTCCGCCGCGGCGGTGTCATGGGCGGCCGCCGCGGCACCACCACCGCCCTCCGGCCGACCGGCGGCTCCGCCTTGCCGCGCGGGGGAAATGCCGCCGGAGGTCGCGCCCTGTGTGCTGTGAAGCTGAAACTCCACGGCTGCCCCCGCGCGTGCTGCCTTTCGGCCGCCGGTGGGAGGCGCCGTCTTGGCCGCCAGGAGCACCACGGCCTCGTTCAGCTGCTGCGACAAGGCGGCCTCCACCGGCACCTCCTCCTCCTCCCCACCCTCCGTCCCGGACACCACGACCGTGGCGGAGGGATTCTGCATCAACTGCAGTGTTTGCGCGGCCTGCGCGAAAAGTGTCGGCAGCTCCTCCACTGGCAGCTCAAACGTCACGCACCGTGTTCCATTCCACGGGTGGGCAATGGGTAGTGAGCCACTGAGAGTTTTTGCGTCTACCATCGCCCCCGCGGCGGACTTCGCCCCTGGACGCGGCGGCTTTCTGCTCGGCGAGTGCTGCACCTTCTCGCCGACGGGAGGGGAGTGCGTTGCGCCCGGGTCGTAGACGGGCGACACAAAAAGAACAAACGTCAGCTTCACCGGGGGGTTGCCCACTGCTTGGGTTGTTGCGTTGTGGGTGGAAGCTGCCGCACCACGTGCTTGACCTCCCCCACTCCGCGCCGGCGGCCCATTCAACTTACCACCGAGGCTCTTGCCGACATCGCGCATAAAGGACTGGCACAGCACCGCGTTCACTCTGGGTATCCCCAGCTGCGTGAGAGTTGCGGTGCTAAGCAGCGGCGGCAGCTTGTCCACGACGATGGGCGGGAGCAACGACATGGCTGCCGCCGCTGCCTCGGCGGCTAGGATAGAACTGCGCTGTGCACGGGCACCCTCGCCAGGACGCCCTTGTCCGTGCTGCTGCTGCTGCTGCTGTTGCTGTTGCTGCTGCTGCTGCTGCTGTTGCTGCCTAATGTGTGCCTCTCGTGTGACCTCGTCGTACCAAAGGTAACAACCGCCGAGCGGGGACGTCTTCACCTGCAGGTACTTGCGCACTAGTCGCAGGGCCGTTTCGAGGTCGAGTGACTCCAGCGGGGGAAAGACGCACTGCAGCGCCTGCTCCAGATGCAGGGAGGCGAAGGCGGCGACCACCACAGGCAGTGGGACGGCGTTCCTTTGGGCAGGCTCCTCTTTCTCCTCGCGGGAGCGGGAGGGGGTGCGGCGCTGCTCCGACGAGGCGCTCGGCAACACGGCTCCCGCGGCAACCACGCCGCTGCTGACGTCCTTTTCGACGACGTTGCCCAAACTGCGCTGCGTGGATTGAATGACGGCGACGACGCTCTCGGGGAACGCCAGATCCGTCCCGAGCTGCAGGTTGTCCTCCCCGTAGAGGGAGAAGACGCTGGTGCCGCTGAACACGTGGAATTTCATGTCCTCCACAAACTTGGCCAAAATCACGCAGGTGGCAGCCATGAGGTGAAACGCCCGGTCCGCACGGGTCAGGAGCACCGCCAGGTGCAGCAGCGCCAGGCGCAGAATGTTGTAGTCGTGGGTACCGCTCGTCACCGCCTGCTCCGCAACATCCATCAGGAGTCGCACTGGCTGCTGTCGCGGCGCATCCAGCAGGTTCAGCACCTCCGCCTCACTGGGCTCCTGGGCGTAGACGGCGTCGCACACCCCCTCCGCGGACGGCTGCTGCTCGTTGAGCAGCGAGGGCCTGAGCAGGCAGAGGACCCGCGCCAGCATAAAGCGGCTCTCGTTGAGCGGCGTGGGGTGGGCGGCGGTGTCGTACCGCGGGGTGAGGGCGACGATGGCGTGCCGCAGCAGCCCCTCCGCGTGCTCCAGCTTGCCCACACGCATGTAGGCCTCGGCCAGCAGGTTTACCGCACGGTGCAGGAAGACTGCCTCCACGTTCCACGCCACGAAGGAGCGGCGCCGCACAGCGGCCTCCGTGACTGCGGGCAGCCGCTGCGCCTCTAGCAGAGGCAGAGCGCCGGGGGGCAGACCGTACACCTCGCAGTACGCTTGCAGTGCCCGCACAGCAGTCTCCAGCGCCTCCAGAGACGCGAACGACGACGACGAGGAGGAGGAAGAAGAAGAGGAGGATGTCTCTCTTTGCTCCAGTCCTCCGTCAGCCAGCACACGGCGCAGGGATTCCGCCGCCACGACCGCCCAGGCGTGTAGCATGTCAATCCGGCTGTCGTACCCCAAGCTGTGGGACACCTTCTGCAGGGCGCGGCATGTTTCTCTGGCCTCCGCGGCGGCCCCCGTGCTTGCCTTAATGGCGCCGTCGTAGAGCGAGAACACGCGTCCACTGCAGGGATCACCGCAGTGCTCACAAAGGGCGATCGCCGCGCGTATCACTTGCTGCGCCGCCGCGTATTCGCGAATCCGCACGTGGTTGAGCAACATCAGCTCGTAGACGTCGCACCAAAAGAGGTGCGTTGCGACGGTCCAGAGGTACGAGGGGGCGCCGGTGGCGGCGGCGGTAAAGGCAGAACCCTCCAACTTTTCGTTAAAGTCTGCCACAAGCCCCCGCAGCACTGCCAACGCCTTGGAAGCATCCCCGCGCGCGGTGCAAATTCTGGCAAGCAGCAGCAACGCGGTGGAGCGCAAGTACCTCTCCTCCACATCCTGGCCGCGCTTTCCTCGCGCGTCATCCGGCACGGCGACGGCCGTCTTCTCCTGTCCGGTGCTCCGCTTGGAAGGCGCATCCTTTGCGGCTGCGCCGCCCCCCTTCTCCTGCAGCCTGGCCAGTAGCGAGTTCAGCATCTGCTCCGCGGCGCTCAACGCCTCAAGGCACGCAGAATTAGCAAACCCGTGCAGGTACACCCGTTGCGAGCTTCGTGGGCGCGGCCCGCGTCGGTCGCTCACGACAGGCTGTTGCTGCGTCGTGAAGGCGCTCCAGACGTACGCGGCCTCCTTCGTTCCGAGAGTCACCAGCAAGTCGGCAATCGCGAGCTCCACACGCTGCGAGAGGCATACGCCGTAGCACGCCACCACTGCCTCGGGCAGCACGCTGCCACCACCACCACCACCACCACCGCCTACAGAGGTGGTGGCGGGTGACGAAGAGGACTGTGGCGTCCACACATTTGGGGCCGCCGCATTCCCCGCCCCAAGGCACTGCGTCAGGAAGGTTTGTATGCAAGCCACATTGCTGGCCCGCAGCGGGAGCTCGGCGTCGTTGTAAAGCCCCTCCGTTGGTTCACATTGTTGTTGCTGCTGCTGATCCTGCTGCTGCAGCTGCTGCTGGTCCGCCTGTTGCTGCTGCTGCTGGTCTGTCTGTCGGCTAGAGAAGCTCGCCCCGCCCTCCCCGCGCTTGCCGTTCTTCGCGGATTTGACTGTCTCAACGCACTCCACCAGCGCCCGCACCCGCAGTGCGGTGCTGTCCAGCGCCCCACGTGGAATTCGAACCCCTTGGCACACCCCGCGCAGTATTTTCATCGCGGCCTTGTAGCTTCCAAACTTGCCGGCCGCCATCGCCTGCACGAGGCGCGCCTCCACGGTGGAGGCCACGTGGCTCATGTGGGTCCGCGCAAAGTACTCCGTCAGCGAGGCAACCATGGCGGCGTAGAAGGGGAACTTGAAGCGTAGCAGCTCCCAGGCAAGAAAGAGCATGTGGTGAACCACCTGCGGCGTCAACGCAGGCATGGAGTCGCCGAGCTGCGGGAGAACAACGAGGTCCTCCAGCATAAACCCCCCAAACTCGCGCAGGTGGCGCGGAAAATTACTCGTGGTGCCCTGCTCAAAAAAGCGCTCAAGAATGCGTGCGGCCAGCAAATAGGCATCCACCGCCCTACCCTGCTGCTCGCGGTAGATGTACATGGCGAGCGAGCTGATGGACATGATGGCGAGCAATAGACGGGGCAGGCCAAGCGTGGCGACGGGGAGTTTAGCCCACGTCTCAGGCGGACGCTTGAGACTGTCTGGCACCTCCAGCGCCGCGTCAACGGCCTCGATCCAGCACCGCTCTGCCTCCGCGCGCTGGCGGTGCAGCAGGTGAATGCGTCCCATCTCGTGGAGCTGCTCGGAGAGCAGGCCGAAGAGGCGTCGCTCCTGCAGGTAACTTGTGGCCGCCTCATAGCGGGAGATGACGTCCCGCAACGCCGGCTGCCGCCCGCCATCACCGCCCCGCACGGCCACTCGCCCAGTCGTTGCCGTCTCCAGACTCGTCCGCGACGTGCTGTCGGCCTCGGCAAACGAGGCGCCAACCGCCGAGGGGTCCCTGACGCTTCGCTTCGACGGCAGCAGCGTTCGCGAGAGGCGCTGCATCACACGCCGATACGCCTCTGTCGTCGTGTACTTCTCCCACGAGCGCCGGGCGTTGCGCACCAGCACCTTGTGCATCGGCTCATTTTGCCGCAGATGGGTGTACTCTTGCAGGAGCTCCTCGTTGCGCGGGGCGCCAATGCTGCGCTGCAGGCTGAGCGCAAACGGCAGCAAGGCGTAGGCGAAGAGGCCATCGGTCAACGTGTGCACCTCCAGGCAGAGCTCCAGCGAGGCCAGCTGACAGCACACCTGCGTGTACCGCAGGAGAAACATGAGGTTGTCTATGACCTTCTCAGCCGGGATTGCCGAGCCAAACCGCAGTGCAATCAGCGCAGTGGCATCGGCGCTGCCTCTTCGTATCGGCTCGGGCACCTCCCCCCGCTGCAGCTCGACATTCCTCGGCGACTTCTTCCGCTTTCTCGACGGCATCCCCCACGACGGCCTCCGCGCCCCTGTTCTTGCCTGCTCCACAAGCTCCGCAAGCGTCCCCGCCAGCCCGGCGGCATGCGGCTCTATCGACGCCAGTCCCGCCGAAACTTGATCCACGAGTAACTCGTGCAGCTCCGTCAGCCACTGCAGCTGCACCTCCTCGCGCCCCTTCTGCTCCGCGGCCTGCACCACGCGCGTGCGCCATCCAAACGACCGGATCAGGCGTGCGGAGTTCACGGCGGCGCGGTGCGCCAGACGCGCCTCCTCATACTGCCCAGCTGCGGAGGCGTACGAGTGCAGCGACGGTACCCGGCCCTGGAAATGCAACTGCTCCTCAAGCTGCACGTCCTGCCCAACCTTCACGGCGGCGGGGTGCAGAAAATCCACGTCGCGGCGGTAGTCCACGAAGCCGTACCACAGCAGGAACAGCATGCGCTGCAGTACGCGTGCAAGTGGCAGGACACGTGGTCCCCATTCAATCAACTTTTCGTTGGTGGCCACCAGCTGCATTATATTCGGCTCCGCATTGTGCAATGAAGTGGAGTCGCAGGAGAGGCTGGCGGCACTTGTACGTCGCTTCGGCGCGAGATCGTCGTGCGGAGCATCGTATGGGCCGCAGCCGGGAAGCAGCAACTCATCGTCCGCCAGCGTCATGTCAGGCGGATCCTCACACACGAACGTGCGAAGGCCGTCAATGGCCTGTGAAATGACCGCAAATGCCCGAGAGGGAAAGCCGCAGCGGGTGAAAAGCAACGCCGAGCGGGTCGCATGTTGAATAAAACGTTTCTCCTCCTCCTTCACTTCTGCCTTCAGTTCCTCCGCTCGCGTCAGCGCGGCGGCGGCGGCAGCCTCCTCCCCGCGCGCCCTCGACTTGAGCCCCGGTCGCGTGTTCGTGACGGAAACGGTCGCATGCTCGCCTCGCTGCGCCTGTCGTTGTCGCTGCTGCTCCAACGAGGACTGGGCGATCACCGAAAGGTAAAAGTGCAGCTGGGCCTGGTAGGGGGCGTTGAACTGCATGATGCGACCTCGCAGCCAACGCAGCGCCCGCCGCCGCCGCACATAGGCGACACCGCGGGTCAGTTGTCGTAGCATCTGCTGCTCCGACGTCGTCCACTGCCTTCCGGGGGTGCCGGCGAATGGAGTTTTTTTGGGCTCCACCGCCGCCGCCGCCGCCGCCGCCCCGGCTCCGCCCTTGGGGGCTGACCGACTCCTCTGGCGTTTCCCCTTGGCGGGCGCTTCCTCCGGCGCGGACTTCTTGTTGGGCCGCGACGGCGCCACCAGCATGTACCCCTCGCTCTCCAGCCAGGCGGTCATGTGCTCCATCACGGCCCGCTGGTGTTCCTGGACGCCCTGGTGCAGTTTCTCAATGGCTTGTAGCGCCTCCGTCGCCACACGCCGCGCCGCCGCAAGTTCGCCCTGCCGAAGAAGATGCTCCACAATGTACACGGCGGTCTTCGCATAAAGCGGGTCCTCCGCCGCCTGCTGCAGGCGCTCAAAGGCAGCCAACGGCGTCTTGCCTGCCAGCGTCTTCGACACAGCCAGCAGCCAAGCAGGAACACCCTTGAACGACTCCGCCAACATCACCGATCGCGAACGCTCCGGGCCTCGCTGCTCTGTTCGTGCGCCGGCCGAATGCGTAAGAAACGCCGTCCCGCCCGGCACGGTAAAGAGAATGGCCCCAAGCAACTCCAGAAACTCAATGGGGACGCAGTCGTCGAGGACCGTGTCGGCCACGGCGTAGGCCCCGCCCGGAAACTTTGGCACCGCCGGATTGCCCGCTGCAGCCGTCGGCGTCGGCGGGTTCGGGGCGTTGACCCCCGCCTCCGCCGCCGCCTCCGCCGCCGCCGCCTCCGCCGCCGCCCCCTCCTCCACGCCGCCTTGATCGAGGAGCAACACCCGCTGCACGGGCCTCGCACCGCGGCGCAGGCTTTCCTGGTAGCGAACCTGCCTCGGGCTGGGGTGACTGTAGACGTTGTCCCAGACTTGCACAAAGAGGCGGAGGAAGAGCTCATACCCACCCTT